TCCGCCATTTCAACGGCGTTGGTTTCCTGGTTTCCACTTGGATTTGCCACGCCGTCTGCGTTATCCTTCTGCGGAAAGCCCTTACCAAGTCTGCCACTCGCAGAAAGATTATGCGTTTGTACTCTCGATGAAGTGCCAGGAGTTCATGACCCTGTCGACGTTTGGTTTCCACCTATAACTTGATATCGTCGGTCCAACGCTGCATGTACACTTTCTGCTCTACCAGTCGCAACCAACCATGAAAGTACTCGTCAAATCCTCCCAAGAACAGCGCAATATTTTCCACCATCTCTTGAGCCGGCGCCCTGGCATCCCACTTGCTGTAATACTTGCCCGTTCAGGTTTTGCTGGCTATCGAGAAAAGTCTAGTGTGGGTCTCGAAGGCTGTCCGTAGCCCCATGACCACCTTCCATCGAAATGGTCAGATTCCTCAGGCTTCAGGCCATGTCTTCTACTGGCATCTGGCTAGTTTCCATAGTTTCTTCTTCCCCTCCATTCCCTCGAGTTTGCCGGGAATAGGCTTGTTCGAAAAGCCGATCCCATAACTGTTATAAATAAAAGTAACCGTCCGGGATTGCTAGCAATTAGGGCACGGAATCTGGTTACAAGACTTTATTGACAAGCATAGCGCACGTACAAAAGACAACATCTGCCCACATGAAGTATTATAATGCTCCATATCTATATATCTCTTACAACGCGGACTGGTTCTTTATGCAGCCGCGGAATTTTTAATCATCCTCGAGGACTAATACGCGTTGACCAGCCTATATGGCTGCATTTTCAGAGAAAGGTAGGTCTTTTGTCTTGCTGTACGAAGAAGGTGGGGAGCTTTCCCCTTTTATTCAGCCTGCATTTACGGTTCTTTGTGGAGATGAGAGTCTGTTCCTCTCTTTGTCTCATTGCTGATGCAGAGTTGGTAGTGGTGGGGGGGGGGTAGTCGCGTTGGATTGTCACCTCCTCGTTACAGTCCGTAGTCGCTGACTGTTGCACTACGGCAAGTAGGAGCGGTGCAAAATGGATTTGTCGTCAAGCATGCGCCTTAGAGACAAGAAACAACGCAGATTACATTCACATAGCAGCACCTTCGCCAACTTTGTAAAAGGGTACATTCAAGAATGGCGAGGACTGATTGAATCGCAGAACGTTGTTAACTAATTCCAATTTGGAAACCGATATCGAATAGCTAGGAAGTTTGCAGGTTTCTTGTGGAATCCCATCCTGCTGGTACCGTATCTCCTGGACTTGTTGTTTCCCATGATTGCGTTCAGTTCTTACCTGCCTCACAGACGGATGAAGTTTGGGCCCTATCAATGTACATGGAGCAGCTATCTAGTAGGCAATATTTACTATTTGCCGACGCCATCCGTCCACACGGGGCAGACATCCAATCAACTTTCTAGAACCAAACAGAAGTAGGTACCAGCATCGACAGCTCGCAAATTCGGACTTTCATACTGTCATAAATCACAATAGATTTGACTGAAGAACTA